AACAAAAATTATTTCAATAGTAAAAACAAAAGTATAGCAACAGCAACAACAGCAGCAGCAGCAGCAGCAACAGTAACAGCAGCGAAAGCGACAGCAACATCAGCCAGCACAGCAGCAACTTCTGGAGGTGGAGCGGGAACGGGAACGGGAGCGGGAACGGGTGCGGGAACGGGAGCAACAGGAGTTGCTGGTGGAAAAGCCAGAGGAGGAGCAGGCGGCGGTCCAACAATGTCGCCAACATTGGCCACTGGCCCGGCGGCAGCCACGAACAATACCACGGTCAATGGACCAACTCATCCTCCTGCTGCCAACGGACGAACCGGGCGCAGTGCCAGCCGCCTTGACATCAGCGACATGGAGTCCATTTATGGCTACCTGAAGCCCCGCAAGCCGCGCAGCCTCAGCCTGAAGAAAATCCAAATACTCGACTACTGAATCGGACACCTGAATTTGTATGGGGTTGCTCTAAATCGAAACGAGGTTATATGGCTATGGCCCAGACATCCCATCGACATTAGTTATGGTTTTTTTGTTGGCTTACCCCTTTTTTGGGTCGAAGGAACTGGGTGCTGTACATACTATACCCAGAAAATGGTTACCTCTTTTACCCGGTGAACTGAACCACTAAACTGTACGATATACCTACTAACTTAGCACCTTGGACTCCTTGGACAGTCACGAAACGCAATTGTACATACACAAACTACAAGTGGGCCGGTTTGTATAAAAAAGTAGTTAAATGTCTAAGGAGTGCGGAGTAATCTTAATCGAAAATCTTATTTTCCTCTTGAACATTGAAATTCTTAAAGAAAAACTGTATATTACTTATATCATTTAAAAGACTCATCAAATTTTGGACACTTTATAAAAAAATGTATAATAATGCTCAAGCCTCAACATATTTTGTTAAAATTCCCAAGCAATAACTGTATATTTTTTATATAATATCTCTTCAAAAGAAAAATATGGTGCTCAAGAATTCGCGTGTATTATATCTACACTGTAAACTTTTACCAAAGATTACTATACACCCTGCTTAGATCGACACTACTGAAATCAAACCACTCCACCAGTCATATTCTCATTCATTATACCAAAAGTATATCCCCGCACCCAGTTTGTAACACTCAATCTCTGTGCTTCTTGTAGATTCGGAGCTTGTTGAATCACCTTACAATCACATCTACGGACGCCATTTACCGCTGCCAACGCGCGGCTACGTGCCCACACCACGCATGTTCATCGGGGAATGGGACTGAGCCGAGATCACACCGCACTTGGGCGGGCTTTTAGCCGGACTTTGAGCGGCCAAGGCACAAAACACACCACTTTCGCACATCCCGGCGGGAGGGAACGCTGCCCGTGCAGAGCTAATTTAAGTCAACCGGCTGCACACAGCTTCAAATATTATTTACATTATATTAATTTAGCAAAATATTATGGTAAAATAATATTAGGCTAGGCATAAGCAAGAAAAAAAAAACAAAAAAAACAGCAACCATTCTAATATTTAGTGGTACGACAATGGATATTTCGCGCTTTTCCCCTAGCAGTTTTGAGATTACGCACTTGAGCCAATTTTGTTTACCCTGTTGTACGAGTTGAATGAATAGCCATTACATTACGAGTTCAGTTAGGTTTTAAGTTTTTGTAAATTTTTCTTTGGCCAGCCGACGAAACAACAACAGGCCTGTTCGGTTATTTACTTTCACAGATCATGTTTATCTCTGAGATCAACGATTTCAAACTGCAGAAAATTGATGGTGTGGTGAAGACTCGAACAGGCCTGCTAATTTCTAAATGGTCGGACAGGCTGCTTTTTATTTTATATCGAAATATTCTGTATTGTGTATGAAAAGTAATAAAATTATCTTTCAAAAAATTAACTCAATTTCGTTCAGCTGAATCGAAAACAATGTTTCCTCCGTTTATAATTACAAACTAAAGATTTTTGGGCGTCGCGCCAAGAGCATTCCTGGTAATCACATGTAGTAGTCGGGGTCCCAGTTGGGGGGTCGCATGTGATCCGGGTTGGGTCCACCACCCTGACCTGGCCTATTCGGATTGATGGGGCCGAAGGGATCGAAGCGTGGCAAAGGTCCGGGTCCCATATTCGGATGTGATGGAAAGGTAAACAGGTTGCCAGGACCACCGCGGCCCAGCGGATCCAGGTCACCGCGTCCTATGTCCGGAAAGCCAAAAGGGCGCGGCTCGAAGCCACCTGGGATAAAGGATCTAAAAGACGAATGTGGACATTAATAAGCTTAACAAGATGCTCTGAGGAGGAACTAACAATATAAAAAAGGCAATCATATACTTATGAGTAGTTCTCTTTTACTGGCTTTTGATTCCTCTGTATACTTTGTACTTACTAAAACTTTTATAAAAAACATTTTACATAAGTTCTTTAAAATACATAGTTTCGATCTATCTTTACTGTATTTTCATATACATTAAAACCTTAAAACCTTAAATTGGTAAATTAAATTGGTAAAAAATAAAGAATTTTGTCCCAAACTCATGAACAATCCTAACTGAGCAAGTCTGTTTAAGTTTGTATAATTTAAATTATAGATTTTAGCTTGATTTGTTTAAAACAAACTTGAACAACATAAAAACAATAAAAAAATATCAAATTTAATGCCTCACCCGCCACGTCTGGGTTCTCCAATGCGCAGGGGATCCGATCCGCTGGGACGTGTTGAGGTGGTCGTCTGGGTGGTTACCTCGCGCGAGTTGCCCGTGAAGACTGGATCCAACAGTTCCTTGCGATAGCGATCGACAATCTCCGAGGCGCTTGGCATCAAGGTAGAAATGCCTCCTTTGACGGCGGCCACCAGGGTCTCCGGCTCCACGCAGATATTGGACACCTTCTTGGTGTTGATGTCCATTAGGTTGATCAGCAGGGCGTCCTCGGTGATGTGGCCCAGTAGCAGGTAGAGCATCTTGTCGTGCACATAGCGCAGCGAGTACTTTGTGTCGTCATCATTCCAGTTATCCGGCAGCAGTTCGCTGCCCTCCTCTTCCGGCAGGGTTTTCTACCGAAGATCCAGATGATTCCGGGTATATAGATTTCATCAGAATTCTACTCACATCATCGCCAATGCCCACGCAGCGAAAGTTGTAGTGCTTGGTCAGCAAAAAGTGGACCAGGGCAATCAGCAGATCCGACTTCTTGTCCACATCCGACTGGACGGTTTTGTAGAGCAGATCCCAGCCGTAGAAGAAGTCGCCCGTCTTGGCAGCCGACGCACTCTCCATGGCGCCCACTCGAATCCTTCACAGTTTCTGGACAGGATCAAGCTTAGCGGAACGGAACGTTCTAAGTTATGCTTAGGTGGAATTAAATGTGCTTACGTTTGCTAGTTCGTTCGTTCAGATGTTATTTCCTAAAGTTCCTCAGTTGTCTATTTTCACAATTTACAGAAAGCTCGAGAATAAGTTTGTTTTGGTGCAATGTTTTTGTTTTCGTTGTTAGTGCATTAGTTAGTGATGGGCAATCTTTGCGATAGCTTTCAATGCGATATTATGACAAGGTAACGTGACTGTTCCCCAAGTTGTGACTTGCTGGAATTTCAAATATTTTATAAATTTCAAAAATTTTTACAAGAACTAGTTGGGTCATTAAAAATTGTACAAGAGCCGGATAGTTTAAAAAATTAATCACTTACTTTCCAATAATCGAACTTCTAAATCAGATTAAGACATTACAAAACTGGGTACTTCAAGTCACACAGCTATTATAAGCTACACATTATAAAAAAAGAACCAGTGTATAAATAGATGTATACATTTAGTCCGGAAAAAGAATCTATAGCTACAATATAGATTAATATATGTTAACCAATGACAATCGATATATTATATAAATATATCGATAGGTTTGCATCGATAATTTTGTTTGCTAATTTAGGAACATTTTACAAATGGATAAATTTAAACAAGCACTAGGTAATCGTTGATGTTTTCCATGGCAATTGCTTACATCATCGTAGTTATTAATTATAATTAGTATGCAAGTGATCTTAAAAAGCACATATATAACTTTTTATATATAGAATCGAACTTACAGAAGCCGATGTCCACGTGGAATTGAAATTAATGTACCAATGCGCGAGAGTCTGTGGTCTCTATATACTTTGATGTTTATCACCGAATGAATCCTATAGGAGAAAAATTAATATCTCTCATGAAATTAATTCTCTCGAAAATTAATAATATTTTTTGAGAAAATTATTCAAGTTCTATTTATAGAATTCTACATACGAGGAGTCCCCTAAATACATTCTAGATATGATATTCATTTCAATTTTTTACTTACCTGAGTTAATAATTTCAATGTTGCTCTGAGATAAATATGCCGGTTCTGAACACTTGTTAATAATTTGTTGAGTCATGTTTTAATTATTTATGCAATAGTGGAAGTTATCGTTACGTTTTTTACGGTCATACTAAAACCGATATTTGATCTAGTTCATTTTGCCAAATACGAAGTTTTCTGCATTGTTACTAGTGCTGGGCCATTTAAAATTTACTTACACAATATGTTATTGTTTAATTTATAAGAAAAATGTTCTTTTTTTTAGATTTTATTAAAACATAATTTTGAAGGAGGTGTGTTCTCTTTCTCGACGCGCTCGTTTTCTTATGGACTGGCCATAGGTGCGAAAGAGACAACCAGTTGTTATAGGGTTGTCAGGCTTTGCAAATATTAAAAAAAATTGTATGTATTTTAAATTTGAAAACTTATTAAATCACCTTAAGTACTATGAAATTTGTCACATTTAAAAAATTTCTTTTAGTGATTGTTGTTTTCCAAAGATTTTAATGTTTTGAATGAAAGATCATTGTTTTTGGGTGTTATTATGAGATAATTAGCGATCTTCCGACGAAAAAATTCCCCATGATTTTATAGGATCTAGTTTCAAAGAGATTTCACTCCAAAACCAGATATAGAGTATCGTTCGAAACTTGTTATATACACTTCGTACAGCCGACTTCGGCTCAGAAACGAAGAGGCAGCCATATTGAATTTGCGGCCGAATGGCTGGTGGTCATTCTCGTGTGAAAATTCTTTTCACTCACATTTTGGCTGGTAGAATCAAACATTTTTCCGAATATAAGTCAACATATAACAAAAATTTGCCGGTTGTGCCGCTAGCTAATAAAAATATAAACACGCGCCAGTTGCACATCGTTTGTTGTTGTTGTTGGCAAACAATATAATTAGAGCGCCGCTTCTTTTTTTTTTTTGCGGCGGCAACTATTGTGTATTTGTTGGGCATTTAGTGCGAATCTTGGTGATTCCAAGTCCCAGGAGCAGCAATCATGAGCAGCAGTACTCCGGGCAGCGATGGTGCCCTGGCGACGCCTTCGCCATCACCGCTGGCCAAAATGGATGTGGATTTTACGGGTGAGTGCTGGGTGCATCGACCATGTGGCAGACGGATGAGTAACGTATGCATCCCCATCCTCGCCAGGTTCCAAATACGAAATGCACGCCACGCTTTCGGAAGAGGAGCGCCGGTTCTATCTGAAGATGTACCCCAATGTGGATCTGGTCAACCAGCGGAAGGTGCACTGCACCGTGTGCAAACTGCACCTGGGCACGGCACCCGGCTTCGAGAACAGCATCAAGATGCATCCCATCCTGCGGGTGACGCACTGCGTCAAGTGCCACGACTTCTACAACAGCGGCGAGTTCTCCAAGGGCGAGGACGGCTCGGAGCTCTACTGCCGGTGGTGCGGCCAGGGCGGCGAGGTCTACTGCTGCTCCACCTGCCCCTACGTCTTCTGCAAGTCCTGCATCGTGAAGAACCTCTCCAAGGGCGTCATCGTGGACATCGAGCAGAACGAGCACTGGAACTGCTTCAGCTGCACCTCCAAGATCCTCTGGCCACTGCGTGCCCAGCACTGGGCGCTGGTCAACTACCTCCAGACGCAAAAGAGGTGTGTTCCATGTAGGAATAGTCCTAATCCTTATCCTAGTACTATGATTATGGCTAAGCACGATAGAAATCTAAATCTGCATGTCTTGTTTCTTAGCATCTTCTTCTAGTCTTATACCCTAATTGTTTTTTGAACTTAATTTTTAACATTTTTGAAATTTAAGACTACGAAATGGTAGCCACTGATTAGTGCCTATTGGCACACACATACCTTATATAATATGGTTTAAAGTCCAAACTAACTAAATTTTCCTCAAATTAAGTTAAGTTCTCAAATGGCTATAAAAAAAATGATATAAACAGAGTTGTAAAATAAGTAGTAGTAACAGGAATAGCAGATTAATTAATTTAATTTCTCGTTTACTTAAATTTACCTATCAGGGAGATCAAGAATGTGGAATCTTTTGAGTCTTCTGAATGTTAAGCTATTGTCTACTAGACCTAGGGCTAAATTATTTACATGATTGTGAAGTCTGTCTGTATATTTCTTACACAGAAAATATAAGTTTAAAACCTACTACTTTTGGTCTCTACAACCAACAATCAATAATCCAAAAAAGAAAAAAGCATTTTAGAAACTATTCTTGCAAGGATTAAATACTATTTATTATTTGAAGTTTTTACTATTTAATTGAAATTTAATAAACAGAATGGTATTTATATCATATATTGTATATAGTTACATAGTGCTTAGTAGCAAGAATCTTACTTTTATCGTTTCTACTGTAACTTAACCATTAACCTTCTTTGTTATTATTACAACAGGATGTTGTTTAAATCATTTTTGCAGTTACATATAGTTATAGTTACATAGTAGCAAAAATCTTATTTTAACCATTACCCTTCTTTGCTATTATAGAGCCCTCCAGAGTTTGCAGCTGCCCGAGTCAGAGATGCGTCGCCACTTGCTCAAGGACAGCAGCAACTGCTGCCGCCTGGCCAAGTCCAAGGCCAGCAGCCTGTCCGACTCCATGGAGAGCCTGGAGTCGAATGTGTCCAGGCGCAGCCAAGGCAGCGCTGCCGGCTCCACCAAACGAGCATCCCTGCAGAAGGCCGTTCCCTCGGCTCCGCCAGCCAAACGGCCAAAATCCTCGAATGACGAAGTGGTCTGCACACCGGATCTACTGAGCATGCTGGAGCCGGACTGCCAGCTCTCTGTAACCCCCAAGCCGGCTAGTCGTCAGTCGGTGCCAGCGGCCAGTGTCACAACTACAACTCCCAGGATTGTGACCGTCCAGCAGAACTACCAACCCGCTCCAAGTTCCAGCAGCAGCAGCAACAGCAGCACCAGCACCAGCAATGGAGGTGGCCCCACCACGATGGTTACGCCGCGGAGCAGCCTGCCGCCACCGCTGGTGCTGAGTGGATCGGGGATTCGTTACCGCCAAAATGCCCCGGGCACATCCTCGAATGTGGTGCGGCGCACCGTGGTGCCCAACTCGGTGAAGACGCCCGGGCCGGTCTTCCACACGATCAGCGGTTTCCGGGTGGACTTGAACAGTGCTGCACAGCAGGATTCCTACCGCCTGCCCAACGGGCGATTGATTCAGGTGAAGCGCCAGTTGCCGCAAGCCAACCAACCGTCGCCACCGCCTCCTCCGCCGCCCATGGCCCTTCCGCCCCAAGCCGCCGGTGTGGTCATCCGGCCCAGGCCGCCGCTTACCGCCAACAGGCCAGCGCTGCACATCAGCACCTATGGCAGCAACATGGGCATCTACAACCCGCAGACCAACCAGCAGCAGCGGGCTCCACATGTGCGTGTGGCGAACGCCAGTCAAGTGCCGCCCCCAACACTTCAAGGCCCAGCGCCAAGTGCCAATGGAGGTCAGACCCTCATGATTACCCCAGTACCGCCGCCACCGCCGAAGGTTCCGACGCTGGTGCGGCACAACTTCCCCAACACACCGATGGGCATGGCGCGTGCCCAGCTGCAGGAGCAGATCTTCAGCGCCATGGACATCTGCACCCATCTCACCGGCAAAGTGGTCTCGCTCACCCACTCCAACGCCTACAACCAGGTGCGCAACTACATGGAGCTCAAGGAGCTGTACATCCACATGTCCTACCTGATGACCTACGCCATCGGGCGGTTTAAGAACCTGCAGGAGAAGTGTCTGGTGGACATGCGGGAGAAGGGTTTCAAGAACGACGCCAACAGTCTGGAGAATGGCCAGTTGGCTGCCGGTGAGTTGGAATATTTATATACTTTGATAGCTATAAGGCAGGATTCCACCAGGAACAAGGGCTAAGCATTTGCATGTGGCAGGATCTTTATATTTGTATACCCATTCAGAGGGGTTTATAATGAACCCTGTGAAGTATATTCATATATTTTTCATTAGCTTCACTAATAGAGTCGAAATAGCCTTGTGCGTATATTTGTCCGTTTGTCCGTTTGTCCGTACAAAACTTTCCCAAAAGTTTTCATTCTATTGAGGGTATTATATAAGTCGCAACGAGTCGGATCGGACGACTATATCATATGGCTCCCAAAGCAACAATGGGAAAATGATATGAAAACAAATTATTTAATTTATTGTTTTTAAATTTATTCGAATATGCTCCAGTTATATTGACAGCTTACTATTTTAGATTTTTGGTTTTATTTTTTTTTTAATTGCCACATAAAGAAATGCATACCAAAATCGATTTTGCTTTTCAACATAAAGCCATTAAAATCCTTTAGATCATCTTAACATTTTTAAAGTTTAAAGCAATTTATTTTAATTGAAAAAGTTTCCAGCATTTTATAGTTACAAAATAGGAATTTTCTAAGTTTTCAATGACCAAACTTATTATTTAGTTTAATACATTTTAAACTTGCTACAAAATCCTAAATCCCAAAATCTCTTTTTCGTATTTAACAAAAAATCATTTGGTAGAATTAAGTTAGTTTATGTATATTTATTTTAGTTATAAGATGGCACTGGGACACCATTAACTGGTGACCAGTGTATTCCTTTTCCTGTCTTTGGTGCGTATTTTCGACACATGGACGGGCGTTGGCATTTGATTTCCGGTTTTCGTTTCGCGCGTGTGTATTTTATTTCGTTTTGATCCGATGAATGGTGATTGCGATGATTTGATGAGCATGTAAGTATGCTGTTTTTATGAAAAACTCTGCGAGTTCCATTTCATTGGCTGCGATGATGATGAGGAGGTTTTGGTTAAGCTTGGTCCATGTGTTTGCAAAATACCATCCAGAACAGGCAATGGAATAGAACCCAGCAGCAGTTTTTTCCCTCGAGGCTGACACTTTGAATCTCTTTTGCCAATTGCAGCCGTGGATTACGTTTGCTATGGCCAGCTGGATGACGTGGATCTCTTCAACACGGGCTGCAATAGCTTCCACAACCAGGTGTACGAGTATCGCAAGAGTCTGCATGCCAATTTGAAGGATGGCGAAGATTGCGACCCACTGCCTCCGCTGATGCCGCTGGGAGTTCGAGCCGAAGGTGATCCCATCGATGAACCGGAGGAGCAAGAAATCGATGCAGAGCAGCTGCAGCAGCAGCAGGAGGAGGAAGCCGGAAAGGATAAGGAAGTGGAGGACTTCGACTACGATGAGCCGGACGATTTGGATGATGACCTGGACGACGATGACCTGGACAACGAGGAGTGCGGTGAACTGGGCACCGAGGAGAGCATGAATCGCAACGAACAGGCTCACGCCTACGATCGCAAGTTGACGCGCCTCCTGCGCGAGTATCCATCGTTGTGGTGCACCCGTCATCCGGACTACGGCAAAAAGGAGGTGACCAACAAGCAGTGGCGTGTGATTGCCACCCACTTTCCGCGCGGCGACGACATCAAGCTGCGCTGGAAGAACGTACGCAAGCGTTATGTGCGGATAGAAAGACGCCTGAAGCAGGGAAAACGCTTCAAGGGCTACTTCGACAAGGCCACCAACTATCTGGAGAACCGGGATCGGCCGAGGAGCGAGTGGCTGGCCGTGGACTGTGGCGAGGATGATGGCGATGGCTTCGAGCGCAAGCACCTGGACGTCATCGAGAACACCATGGAAAACAAGGCGCCCAAAATGGTCCTCCCAATGGGAAAACTCAAATCAAAAATTGGCACTCGAGTGCCAGTGCGTCCACTTGAGGTGCGTGCCATTGACCAGCGCATCATTACCTTTGCCAAAAGTCATCCGGTGCTGTGGCGCAAATCCGCCGATCCCGAATTCAACAGTATTGACGAGCAGACCCGGAAGTCCCTGTGGCAGAACTTCTGGAAGTCAGCGCCCAGTGAGTTTGAATTTGGTTTCTATATTTTGTAGAATTTCTAGTCCCTATTTTCCTGCACTTCCAGATTATGCCTATGAGTATTTGGTGGAGCGCTGGCAGCAAATGTACGAGATGTACAAGTCCTTTCGACTCAAGAGTATTAAAGACAAGGGCATCTTTGCGAATCTGGAGCTGAAGTACTCCAAGTACTTGGCCAGTTTGTATTTCCTGTACAAGATCGATGAGCAGGATTTGCGGGATGAGTTTGAGCCACTGCAGGATTGTGTGCCAAACGGAGCAGACTCCTCGGGAAGGCTGAAAGACATGCCCGACGACAAGCAGTTCTCGCAGCAACTGGTCCTGGCCATGCGTGCCTATCCCACGCTGTGGAATCCACGCCATGTGGACTACGGAGATGTGGCAGCCAGGGAGCGACTCTGGCCGGAGGTGGCCAGGCGATTGCCCCGGTTTAAGCGAGATGCCCAGACCTGCAAGCTGCGCTGGCAGATGGCCAAGTTCGCCTACGAGTGCTACTGCCGCGAGATGGAGCGAAATCCGCGGGTCAACGAGCGCAAACTACAGAAGCTGCGCTCCAACTTTCCACTCGAGGAGATGCGATTCCTCAATATTTAGACATTATTACATTCCAGTAATTTTCTAGCCTAAGCATACGATTTTTGTACTTTGAGATTATAGTTTAAGCTTAAGTAAGCCAGATTTGCCAAACTTTGCCAGGAGCCATACTTACAAATATAAATTACTTCTTGATCTTTACAAGCTGTTGTGATTAAGGGGTTTCATATCATATAAACTTTATAATAAATTTAGTTATTTTATGGGTTTAATGTATACAACATTTAAATATTAATTTTAAACCATTCAGTTTAACTAATCACCTCTTTCATTTTTTAGAAAAACAAGCCAGCGATGACGAGGATAATGAAATTGAGATTGTGGAGCCAAAAACGGACACCATTACCATCGATTCGGACAACGAGGACGATACGCCGTCGACCTCAACGCAACAACCTCAGCAGGAGGCTATCATGAAGATAACCTCCGTGACATCGGCGGCACCGAAAAGGGAGCTTCTGCAAAAGGAGAACCAGGTGGACATCGATGTGGCCGCCTTCAGCTCCACGATATTGGCCAGTCTGCTAGAAGTGGAGATCAACGATGGCTCCAACGAGCCCAAGTCCGTTTCGCCGGGCCAAAAGAAGCAGCCGCGGAAGAAGACAACCAATAAACCAAATCCGGCACTTTTGCAGCTGGAACGCCAGCGCATGGAGGAGTTCAAGAAGTGCGATGCCAAGCTAAAAATGAAGGCTGTGGTCAAGTTGAGGCGGGCCGAGGACCAGTTCGAGGTGGCGCGAAAATGGGTGGAGGACTGCAGGAAACGGGAGCAGAAGTTGGCCGCCGAGAAGAAGGGTTCGAGTGTGGAAAAGGATGGGCAAAGCAAGGAGCCAGATTCAGCTAAGGAACAAAACGATGAAAAACTCAAAAACAAGGAAAAAATTGGAGAAATACTAAAGGCGGCAATAAAAGCAAAAATAGGAGAGAAAGATAAGAAAGTTGCCGAAGAAATAGAAGCTCAAGAAGAAAATGTTAAAGAGAAAGAGAATAAGTTAGCGAAAGAAAAAATAGATAAGGAAAAATTAGCAAAAGAAAAAAAAGGGAATCAAAAATATGCCTCCAAAGAAATAGAAAAGAAAAAAATATCTGAAGACGAAAAGATAAAGGCAAAAATTGCCGACAAAGCAAAGGAATTAACAAAGGAAAACATTGTAAAGGAAGTAAAGCAGAACGAGTCAAAAAGGGTATCAAAAAAAGATGGGGAATCGGAAAAGAAAAAGGTTGAAGATTACAAAATAGAAATGGAAGTGGATTCCGAAAATGTAGATGAAACCGAAATGGAAGTCGAATCCGCAATAGTTTCAAACAAAGAATTGGTTAATCAGAATGAAAAGAAAAATGAACCAAAAACCATTTCAAATAAAGATAAAATTAATCAGAAAACTATTTCAGATAAAAAAGATACAAAACCAAGTGAAGAAATAGCTACAATTGGAAAGGATAAAAAGAAGAGTCTTAAAGTAAAAGTTTCTGAGACAGAAACAAGTAAAGTAGAAAAGAATTTAGAGAAAGAACACAAAACAGAAATATCCGGTAAAAAAGATTCAAAACCAAGTGAAAAAACAGGTACAATCGATAAGGATAAAAAGAAGATTCTCAAAGAAAAGCTTTCTGAGACGGAAACAAGTAAATTAGAAAAGAATTTAGAGAAAGAAAGGGAAACAGAAGAACCCACAGAAAATATAGAGATGACAGAAGAAGCGAAAAAGAATACCCCTAAAGATGTAGAAACAGATTTTATTGAAGACACCCAATCAGAGGTGGAAGATATTCTAGGGGAAGAAAAAACTCTGGATGGTGAACTTGTAGACCCAGCCACATCGAACTTGGACGAAGTCATGGACACTTGCAACGAAAGCGAAGAGCCTTCTGCGGCGGAACTCATTGAAAGCATGGACGTCACTGAACTTGACGAAACGCCCAAAGAACTGCTAGATTGCGCCATAGCCGAAGTCATTGCCATGGATGGTATTGAACTAAGTGCAGCCACCGAGGAGCTGATGAAGGCTTTGGCCTCCGATAACGCAACTGAAGATGAGACTGATTTGGATGCCAACGATCTAATTGAAAATCTGCCCCTCGAAACCACGGAGCCACCAGAGATTCTCTTGAAAGACGATGAAAGCAAGACATCCGGTAGATCTGAGCCGCCGACAAAGACTGATGAAAGTGCCACACCTTTGGCTGGCTCAGCTGAAAATGGTGATCCCGCAATCGAAGCCAGTGAGTGCCCCGTCGAATCCGCTCAAGATGAGCCCGCTACGGCGCAGATTGTTGGCTAGTTTATGGTGATCTTTTGAGGTCCCGCCGACGAGCAAACATAGCACTGGACCTCAAAACCCTCCATTTAAGATTTGTACTAGAAAAGAGCAAAACACACAAAGAGTTTCATGTAAATACTTAACAGTTGCTTATGATTTGAACTCTCTAAAAAGGGATTCATATTTCTGTATATCTTCTTCTGTTTTAGGAATGTCTTATTTTGGATATACACTTGTACAAACTAATTTCAAGCAATTTCCTTAAGGAATCAATATTCTTTTGAATGTCAAACAAGCGCAAAGCTCAGCAGCCTCAGATAAGATTAATTTGTACACAAGGTTACAAAAATAAAAATCTGAAAAAAACTATTTGTAGCAATTATGAACATTTGTAAACCTTCCCATAGAATTTAGGATTAGGTATTGCATTTCATAATGCATTGTTATGTTTCCGGACCGCTTCAAAAGCCTCTTAACCCACTCAATTCATCCAGAAATTCGAGGGGAAATGAATATACTATGTAAGCTTCTCTCGATGTTCACTCATAATTGTGTAACCAGAAATACATGAAGTACGCCAGTCGATTTTAAATAAACTAGCACTTAAGTTATTAATTGATATTAATATAAATGTGTATTTTTAAGCTATCTTATGACGAATAAAAAAATCTTAAAAGTTAGCATACAACTTTAGTGGTAATCAGTTTTAACAGTGTGATTTCCTCGTTATTTGCCTTTTGATAGCGTGTTTATCTGGCGGTAGACATTTAATGTTGTAGTTTGATACAAAACTCCAGGCCTCCAACATTTGGTTGCCAGGCACCGGATGCAGTGAAATGGTTCCCTTGTAGATGCACAGTGGCTTCCAGTGGACATAGTTGAAGAGTGGGTGATGGCGCCGCTGGATTCCCGCCCTCTCTGCACAGATGCCAGTGACGAAGACGTCCTCCAGATGCACAAGCGATGTGGTCAGGGATTCCTCGTACAGCCGCAGGACCACGTCCATGGAGAGCAGATAGCCGGTCCCGGAAAGATACATTGGGAACTGCAACCCCTCGAACATGTATTTGGGCACATACCAGGGACTCCTCACATCGCTCTCGACCAACATGTTGCAGAACTTGTGGCCATACATCACTCCTTTGCTGGCATTGAAACGATTCCATGGCGACCTCACTTTGTAGGTGTTCTGAAAGTGATATTCCATTGTATCTCTATAAAGAGGGATTGTACCGCCCAGCAGAAAGTGCAGCAGATTGGGCACATTTATGAAGCTATCATCGTCGCATTTGAGGAGGAAGGCGGCGGTACTCGAGCAACTTCGACTGATGTGCTTCAGAGCCATCACCGATTTAAGCGTAAGGTTGTGGTAACTGTCCACAAAGTTCTCCTGAATCATATCGTTGTAGTGATTTGCCTCTCTAGTTAGCCTTTCAATCACCTGCTGGGACTCGATCTTGGCTCGTCCCACAATGAATACAACCTGCACCTTGGCGGTCAGCGATTTACCGACTCCACTCAGATACTCGGCGTACAGCTCTACACGACTTGGCATTATAGGCAGATATATTCCCTCAAGGTGACCATGAAGTTTGTAAAATTTTTGATAGTTAAACTCCCTGGTATTTCCCCAGGTTTCCCGAATAATTTGCCGATGGGCAAAGTGCTCCAGGCTAGAGCAAACGGCTATGACCAGGAAGCTTTTGCTCTGGCAGAAATCTTGGGGCACTATTAGTGCAGTGTTTTCCTTCTGATCCAGATAATCACCGACTTTCAGAGGCTTTTCGCGTTCAAAATCGGGCACATGAGCTGCCGATGAAAAATCCATAAAATTAAGAAATACGTTTTAAATTTTAATTAATTTTTTACCATGTCTATCGTTGTCCTTTTTGTATTTCAGGATGAGAAATAGTCCACAAATGAAAACAAGGATTAATTTGTACCAGTGAAGTCGCCATATCCTTGGCAGTAGGATACAGAATTTCCGTAGGAGTCTCTTGAAATTTATCATAATATAAGTTTTTATTGCTTTAAAAGAAAATAAACAAAGTTGACAGAATTGAAAAATGGTTCTGGGATTTTCAAAAAAAAATTTTTGGAAGTTTTGCTAGTATTTTTATATTCCTGCAGAAAGTATTACACAAGACATTTGGAACTTTTGCAATCGTATTCTTGTATATGTACGCATATCGTTTAAAAACGGTACAGATCGGGCGTCTATATGCTAAATTACGATGTTGTATTTATATAATTGGCTGGTTCTGGCCCTAAATGTTTTTTTTTATCTTTGATATCGGTTAACAATACTGACCATGTGGTTCGATTCATAAAATTTTCGAATCGAATTTTTTTATATGTGAACTGATCATTTCCAAAAAACCTTACCGACTTTATCATAATCATAGGAACGATCGGGTAGAATTCAATATTTTTTTAAAGAAATTTACGTATTATCTTTTCGGATCCATCCATAAAACTTTGGATTGCCGAGGCAATTATAACCAGCTTACTCAAAGGAAAACTGAATATATATAATGGATGATCCAAAAAAAAGTTCATATATGTACAAAGAACATTAAATAGTATATAACTAAAAATAAGGACAATCTAACATCGTTGCATCTCGGGCAAATGCCACTGAAAGTTTTTTTTTGGCGGAGGACATTTGCTGCTGTAGTTGGTGACCAGGTGCCAGGCGTTCCACATGATCCAGTCCTTGGCGCGGTGCGTGGTGAAGCTTCCCTTGAGGGCGCACTGCTCGTCCCACGGAAACGGATACATGGACCTGAAGAGCGGGTGGTTGGTGCGCCTGATGCCAGCCCTCTCCGCACAGAGTCCAGTGACGAACATGTCCTCCAAATGCACCATCTTCGTGCCCAAAGAGGCCTTGTAGAGGCGTGGCACCACATCAATGGACAGCAAGTAGCCTGATCCGCACAAATACTGTGGATACACTCCGCCCCGGAACATGTAAGATGGCATATACCATTTGTTGAACTTATTGGCTATTGGTGGCACATTGCAGTACTGGCGTCCGTACATCACCTCCTTCCGGGCCGTCAAACGGTTCCTTGACGAGGTCACCCGAAAGGTGTTGAGATAGTGGTAATTCGCGGTCACCTTGTTCAGCGGAATAGTTCCACCCAGCAGAAAGTGCAGCAAATTGGGCACATTTACAAAGGTGTCGTCGTCGCATTTCAAGACGAACGCTGTCGTGTTCACACAACTCTGGCTGATGTGTTTCAAAACCATTATGGCCTTAATAGTAAGGTTATTGTAGGTGTCCATGAAGTTCTCCTGGATCACGTCATCATACTCTTCCGCCTCGTTGGCAACCGCTTCGTTTTCCTGCAGCGAAGCCAAGTTTCTGCGTCCCAGAAAGAATACAATTCGAATGGAGGCCTCCAAGGTGTCACCCTCGCCGCTTATATACTCAGAGTACAGCTTCAGACGCTCTGGCAGGACGTCCAGGTATTTGCCCTTGAGGTGACCATGAAGCTTCACAAAGGACGAGTAGTTGAACTCGGTGGAGTTGCCCCAGAGTTTGCGGATGGTCCGTCGCCGTTCAAAGTGATGCACATAGGAGCAGACTGCGATGGTCAGGAGAGCCTTGCTCCGGCAAAACTGTCGCGGGACAACAAGCGCTGTATCCTGAGCCGGGTCCAAGTAATCGGCAATACTCCTGGGCGTTTCACGGCCCCAACCCGGCAGCGACGCTGTAAAAAGAGAGAGTAATAAGAATAAAAATATATTAAGAATTAAAAATACTGTAAGCCTTACCATTCCGTTTGCTTGGATCCTGGAAAAAAAATATCCTATAGACCAGATAGAAAACAAGCAGGACAGCCGTGATATCTGTATACCTTCTTAACAGCAGCCGCCCAAATCTTGGCAGTTGTACTCGTAGTCCTTGAACCAGCTTAAGCTTTCTCAAAATCGTGAAATGCATTTTTTTTCAATTTGAAAAAACCTTAAGTTGACAGTTTTCGAAAAGGCAACAATAAAAGCTGGTTAAACATTTGGTGTCTTTTTGAAATTTATTCAGTTTTTTGTTGAACAAAACACAACTATTTTTTGGCAATCTTATTTAATTAGTAATGTTTTGCTTATATCTATCACATAGTTGCAAAATAAATATACGAAGCTTACACTTTTGTGCTTAATTTTAGGAAGAGATAGCATAAGTTTCTGTCAACTGATGAAAGCAAATAAATAAAGTAAACAGATGAACAAGTAACTCATTTTGAACAGCGTCTTATTATATATATATATATATGTGATATCAGATCTTATGTATGAAAAATAAATAAATACTTACTATTCTAGCATAAAGTCTATTTGATTGATTATTTTCTAAAGTCCTGGGAAGCAAATATGTAAGATATATATAAAATCTCGCTTGTGCATTATTTTTAACATTGATATGGAGATTGGGGGTGCTATACATTGACATATTCCAAGATCTTTTACGTACATAGATTAACGATGAATGAGTTTTGCCCATATTTCTCTTTTTAAAAAAGAATGGTTTAGAACGTAGTAGGAATACTATAAGCTTTTTAAGCTAACACAAAATTTTAAACTGTTAAACTTTAAATTTTATGTAAAAGCAACGACGCCTTTCTGTTTATCTTGAAAAGAATTAAAATAACTAAAATATTTTAAAAGTTTAAAATTTGTTCGTTTAAACAAAGTCAGATTAAGAGTGAACATTTTTTAAAGGAACAAGCTATTTTATTAAGCCGAATGCCAACAATAATTTATCATAGCAACAATGCTATTATTCAAGTTGATTTTTTTTTACAAGAAACTAAAGTGCGATAAAGTGCGGACGACGTCATTGCTTCATAAACAATATGTGTGGTCATAATTCATTTTTGCCAGGCAATCATGTCAACTGATTACTGCCGAATCGTTTTCTTATACGCAGCATGTTTTAATACTAGGAACTAAAAGTCAAAAATCTCTACCGAAGCAAGATAACTCGATAGTTAAGGGCTCTCCAGAGAACCGGAGCCATGGGAAGATATGATGGATACAGAGACCTACCCCGGAGTCCTAACAGATGGGCCGCTTGCGGAGTCGCATTTGGCTAAAGAAGCGCCCCGGTGCCGGGCACTTGATGGAGTAGTCGGCCACATGGTTCCAGGCATCCGCCATGCTGTCGTCCTTCATCTGGTGCTGCGTGATGCTGCCCTTAAAGGCGCACAGCTGCTTGGAGTGGGCAAAGCTAAAGAGCGGGTGATGATGCCGACTGATCCTGGCCCTTTGCGCACACAACCCCGTGATGTACACATCCTCGAGGTAGACCAGTGACGTATTGCGCGAGGCCTCGAACAGCCGCTGCACCACATCGATGGACATTAGGTAGCCAGCTCCGGACAGATACTTGGGATACGCCTCCGGCTTGAACATGTACGAGGGCATGTACCACTTGCTGTTCACATCGTTCACTGGCACCACATTGCAGAACTGGTGGCCATAAAGCACCTCGCTGCTGGCATTCAACCGATTGTGTGCTGCAGTCACCATGTAATTGGACCGATCATGGTATTCCAGGGTGTCGTTGTACAGTGGGATAGTGCCTCCGAGCAGAAAGTGCAGCAGATTGGGCACATTCACAAAGGTATCATCGTCGCACTTGAGGAAGAAGGCGGAGCTGTTCGAGCAACTCTTGCTAATGTGCTTCATGGCCATCACGGACTTCAGCGTGAGATTGTTGTAGCTGTCCACAAAGTTCTCCTGAATGATGTCGTTGTACTGCTCCGCCTCGCTGTGAATGCGCGTCAGCGTTTCGTTGCCCGCCAGCTCGTCATCCCGCTGTCTTCCCACGATGAAGACAATGCGCACCGAGACAATCATTGAGTCACCCTCGCCGTGCAGGTAATCTCCGTACCGCTTCAGACGCTCCGGCAAAGGCGGCAGGTATTGACCCTTGAGGTGGCCGTGCAGCTTCACAAAGGCCGGATAGTTGAACTCGGTGGTGTTGCCCCAGGTCTCGCGAATCGTTTGCCTCTGAATGAAGTTACCTAATCCCGTGCAGACGGCGATTACCAGGAAGGTCTTGCTCTTACAGAAATCCCTTGGAACAATGAGAGCCGTATTGTGACCGGGCTGCAGGTAGTCATCAATGCTGCGTGTGGTCTCCAGAGTCCAATCGGGCAGGCCAGCTAAGAAAAACAAACAATGAATTGGGTTGAAACACACACACATATATAAGATTAAACCCACCACTACGCTTGTGCACATCCAAGAAGATGAGTGGCAGGTAGACCAGGAGCAGCACAAAGACGATGCAGGCACTCAGCGTGTAGCAGCCCAGGCGTCTCAGCATCCTGGGCAGCGGCATGCGCGTGCGGCGCTGCATCTTCCGCAGCTTGAGTTTGGTGCGGACTGAGGACTCCTCTTCGGATCCCGAGGCAGCTGCTCCCGAGCTGGCGGAACTGTCCGCCGCCAGCAGAGCACACTGCTCCTCGCCGCTGGCCGGATTCCGTGTGTGGATCATTTGGCTGTTGTTGCGCTAATCTACGCTGGTTCTTTGTCCGCATTTCACTGGATGGTTATCATTTTTTCAGCCTTTTGACTGATAAGGGTATCGGAACAGTTATCCACACCTAGTGACTCACATTTAAATGCTTTTGCAACTAGTGAGATAATACAGCAATTTACCCTATTGAGATTCTTATAATGAACTTGTTAGTCAGCTGATTAGAAAATTGACTCGTGACTATCGATACCGATAGTTGCCCATCACTAGCCACAAGTAATTTGGATTTAAATTAACAGTTAGAAATTCTTGGACAAGCATTATTGCTTTGCTTCAATATCACAATTAAATGTATAAGCTTTACTGCTACAACTATTACTTTAAAACAATTTGCAGACATGAAAGGTTTTTCCTTTTCTACGTTTTAAAAATTTTGAAATTGATGAATAAAAACCAAAATTAAGGCTGCTAAGTTTTCCCGCTCTTTAAATAATTCATAAATTAAAAACACCAACATTCTTGGTAGTGCTTAATAATTGTCTAGATATAAATTTTATTTAAGATGATGTATGTATGTACAATGAATTCGAAGAAAAGTACGCTCCTAGTCAAAAGTGTGTCAAAAATTCCAGGATTTGAGCGCTTTTTGTTAAGGTTCGATAAATGATTTTGAATGAGCTGAAAAGTCAGTGATTGTTCTTAGCCTAGGTAAAATTAAAACGGACTACACATAAACTCCGTCAGATTAAAATATAAAAGATGTGTGAGAAGCCAGCCCTTAAGCGATTGAAGATTGTGACAATGATGTCCTGGGTCCAGCCCTAGAAATCGGCGTCCAGGGTGAACACGTTGTCCAGCCGGTTGGTGGCCACGCCCATGCGCTGGTACTCGCCCACCTTCTTCTCGAAGAAATTGGTCTTGCCGTCCAGCGAGATCATCTCCATGAAGTTGAACGGGTTCTTGGTGTTGTAGATCTTGCCAACGCCCAACTCCACCAGCAAGCGATCCGCCACAAACTCAATGTACTGGGACATCAGGTCACAGTTCATGCCGATGAGGTTCACAGGCAGGGCGTCTGTGAGGAACTCCTGCTCAATGAGCACCGCATCGCGGATGATCTCGATGATGCGCTCGCGTCTGGGTCGCTGCACCAGGTGCTGGAACATCAGCACGGCGAAGTCACAGTGCAATCCCTCGTCGCGGGAGATCAGCTCGTTGGAGAAGGTCAGTCCCGGCATCAGACCGCGCTTCTTCAGCCAGAAAATGGAGGCGAAGCTGCCGCTGAAGAAGATGCCCTCCACGGCGGCAAATGCGATGATGCGCTCCCCGAAATTGGCCGACTTGGAGGAGATCCAGGACAGAGCCCAGTCAGCCTTGCGCTTCACCGCCGGCATCGTCTCGATGGCGTTGAACAGGTACTCCCGCTGGTGCGGATCCCGGATGTAAGTGTCGATCAGCACGCTGTACATCTCCGAGTGCACGTTCTCCATGGCGATCTGGAAGCCGTAGAAGCAGCGGGCCTCCGTGATCTGCACCTCCTGGCTGAACCGCTCCACCAGGTTCTCATTGACGATGCCATCGGAGGCGGCAAAGAAGGCCAGCACGTGCGAGATGAAGTGACGCTCGTCGTCCTTGAGGCGGTGCCAGTCGGTCAGGTCCTTGGACAGATCCACCTCCTCTACGGTCCAGAAAGAGGCCTCAGCCTAAGAACAGAAAAGAAAGAGTATTGTGAAATTGGTAATTCAAACTCATTCGGTTAAGCTTTATTTTGGAGAATGGTTTAAAGCTAATGAAAGAAAAGTTTGAAAATTTCATAATTACTAGCCATGAAATAAAACCAAAATGGTCTTAAATGATTTTAGTTTAGTGTTTGAATAAATAAATAATAAACCAGTATTATAAAACAAGGTGGTGAAATCATTAAGTGAACTGAACCTACTTGTAATGGAAATAAAACCAATTAATAGTAAATAACTACATATATAAAAAAGGTTGTGTTTGTGTAACTCAATAAAATGGTAAGAATAACCGGGAATTGTAAGCCCTTAAAAGTACATATCATTACTATAATCTCTTTTCCGGTTTATAGTTGCATGTTAGTAATTTTAATCAATTAGGTAATGGAAATTTATGAATCGTCTAACAAAAAACAATTAAAGCTGGCGTAGATTTCCTCATGGTTTTTATAGTATGTACATGTGTATGCCGCTCATTATCTCTGACACATTTTCCCGCCAAAAACGAAAGCGTATGTTGACATTAGGTAAACCATGATGCAGTGAATCATGGGAAGGGGAAGGGTTGGGGTTGGGGTTGTTGGCTGTGGCTATCTGAGAGTTTGATTCATGCAATCGACTACGTGACCGGCTTTTGGCGCGCTTTATCTCGAAACGCCCGCCCTTCCATAGTTTTTGCCGCCTAAAAATTGGATTTTCACCACCAACACATAGGGAAACCTTGGGTATACACACCTTTTTGTACATCTGCCAGATGTCGTGGTACTGGATGGGAAAGATGACAAAGCGTCGGGGATTTTCCCGCAGCAGGGGTTCCAGCGAGGGATCGAAGGGAGTCACAGACTTCTCGATCATGGAATTGGCCGACTTTCCGACTCCGTTCTCCATGGAGGACTCCTTGGACACCTGGCCATTTGACTCGTGGCCAATGGACATTTTGCGAACGTTGCTGGCGCTCTCCGTCAGAATTTTCTTGCTGGGGCTCTGTTAGCAGGGGAAAACGAAGAAAACATTAATAACTAATTCGCTGCGTAGTACTATTTCCCCTGGGAATCCACACACACACACACACACACACAAACACACACACACATGTAAATTGATCGCGGTGTTACGTCTATGTATAGCTGTGAACTTTCAGTCTTATTTCGCGTGTCAATTACCTTGAGCGAGAACTTCTCCATGTTGTCCGCAATGTTTTCCTTGGACGCCATTTGAGTTTGAAGGGTTGTTTGTGTTTGGATTAGTCTTTATGCGTTGCTTGTCTTCTGCAGAAGTGTCTCCAATGAAATTCACTGGGAAGGTGGTGTATCTTTAGCGTAGAGTTCGAAATTTCAGTGGCAAATGATCTGAGAAATGCTGCTGCAGAGGTTTTTATGCCGGGCGGCAAACCGTTTCGATTTACCGCCATTTTTGGTGATGGGAAAAACACGTGTGGGAAATTGCAGGGTTGTCAAATGCTACAAATATCGTTTAAACTCTGAAGAGTATGACGCAAAGCAACAGTTTCAAAATCAACTGATACCAATTAATCAAAAGAAAATAATATTAAAATTATATATTATTAATTCAACAAACAAATGTAGTTTTCCTTTGATGTAATTTTTTTGTAATTCATTCATTTAATTCATTTTTTAATACCATTTGGCTTTTAAATATTCTAAATACATTTGTTCAGAAATGGCTAGTAAAATAACTAAACGACTTTAAAATTATTTATCAGTGAGAATGTATGAAACTTTTATGATAAGTTTTTGGTTTCGAAATCATTTCTCACTAGCATATTATATATCAGATTTTACTTGATGAGCTAATAAAAATAGAATTATTATTGTTTTGTTACTAATCATAACAAATTTTTTAAGGCATTCAGACAACCATACATTATTCCACAAATTAACACAGGAAAAATATTATATATTTGGGCTACTTTGTAAGAATAATTTCCTTAGTATATGTTGTATACTTTTTTCAAAATCTACATCAGCTTTTTTTTCGACGTAGTAGGCAACACTGCTTGGAAGGAAATTTTGGGAAATGCAACAGGTGCCTTGGAGTGGATTCCATTCCAGCCCTTCATGTTATTAACAGAGTAATAACATAACTGTTTGTTGTTATCGATATGCGATTAATATATGTTATTTTGCCGGCTAAAATATTAGTAAACAAATGAGGAAAAATTGACTTTCTAAAGTTAAAACAATGGAAGCCTCATCTGCGGAACACCACAAACGTCTGGAATACTGCGCTACAAGACTGCCATATCGTCAGGGTAGAGAATTAAAGGCTGTTAAGGTGGGAACATTATTATTGTCATTAAAGTAATTTTAAATATTTCCTATCCTCCTTTCAGGTTTATACAGTGGCCAGTGAATCCCGGCACTTGCTGATCTTCGGCGTGCCCAAAATAAACCTCCAAACTAATCTCAAAACTAAACTACAGGGTTTTGGAAAACTGCAATCTTGCATTTGCATAACTTCAGAGATGGCTTCAAAAAGTAAGTAAAGTGCTAGACAGCATCTCAAATTAAACTATAAACCAATTCTAGTGGAGCTGGAAGCCTTTACGGATGTGTTTGCCGTCAAATTTGAACGTCTGGAGGTAGCTAGAAGGGTTAAAAAGATGCTCGATGCCCGCCAGTTCTTCGGCGGGATCTTGCATATATCCTATGCTCCAGAGCGGGAATCCATTGAAGAACTCCGGGATAAAATGCTGCAACGCAGACAAGAGGTGGTCCTTCGCATACGGCGGAACCAGAGGAACGAACCTCCGGTGCCGAAAAAGAGCCGTGAAGCCAAATGATTACACGTTGTTAACGCTTTATTCAACTTAACTCATTGCAATGAACTTCTAAGGCAGAACGATGTCAGTATTATCGTCACATTCAGAGTGCTAGTAGCTACCACTCCGAGACCCCAACTCCTCGTCCGTTCACTTGGCCAATTCCGCATACTCCAGTACTATTTCTGCTTCGTTCGTCGCAGGTCGTGGTAGTAATTCAGCAGGCCAATGCGCTTCGCCCAAATCTGTGCTCCATATGTGGCCCAAAAGCTGTGGATTACACGAGGATTAGCAATGGAAACAAAAAAAGGGTTGAACCCCTAACTCACATGCCAAACATAGCGCCGCCTAAATGCGCCGCATGATCAAAGAACTTCCAGCCCAGCACAACGCCGGCAAAGTCGATGCCCATGAGCACCTTGATGCCAGCTCCGGCGGAGAATGTCAGCGCGGGCAGGAACAGAATGCTAAGCTGGGTATCCGGATACTGGGTGCACACATAGGCCAATAGTGTCATAATGGCTCCCGACTAAAAAGCAACTGTAAGTTTACATTTACTGAATTTGCTTATGGGGTTTTCTTACCGCACCCAAGGACATCCCCGCCTGACTCGTGCCCGCTTTGTAGAGCACGCTCATCAGGCTGGAGAAGACGCCCGCGCTGAGGTAGACCGCCAGGAACTGCTCTTTGCCCAACGACAGGACCGCCGCGTTGGCAAAGCTGTGCATCACGTACATATTGGCGAATATGTGCATGGCCGAGTAGTGGCTGAAGGTGGACAGGAACATGGGCCAGCAGACGACTCCTGCGGAAAGAGAATCAAGTAGATTTATCAGAAAGCTAGGCTGGAGATTATCAATTTATTTGTTATAATTAAATTCAAAGTTAAAGTTATTACAAAACCTTGGCAACACAATTTATTCCATAATGTTATGTAAAGAATTTGATGCATTTTTGCAAGCAAGTTCGATAATTTAATTTATAGGGTTATATAAATCTCCCATTAATTAATAAATATAAATAAAAAATTATACTATTCAAAAAATGATTTAAAGATAGTTTACAATTATCAGCCCAAATAAGTTGAACTAGTTTATCTTATGAATTAAGACAATATAAATAAGCGATATTGTGCGTAGTTTGATGAACAAAGCTACAATTCTAAAGCTCCTTGAAAAATTTAAAATACAAATTTAAAATAGGTATTTTAAACGTAATACATTGGTTTATATAAAGCTTTCTGATAACCGCAACTCGGAATACTACCAATATATACGTTATTATTTACTTCTATTCTGACACTGTAGTGTTCTGTTCCCCTTTCGATTTCAACACTTACGCGCCGCTGGATTGGAGGTGAAGTAGGTCATCATGGTGGATCTCAGGGCGGGAACGCGCCACATGGCGAAGGCCAGCATATTGCAGAAAAAGATGGGGGCGAACATCTTGTCGCCGGGCGTCAGTGAGTCCCATTGCCGCCGCATGTCCTGCTTCAGCTGTGTCCAGTAGTCTCGATCCGCTAGGGAACGGCTCTGCCACCAGCCGAATCTCGCCTGGCGCGCCTTCTCCAGGATGAGACTGCGTGTGTTCTCGTACTCCAGGATGGTGGCTCCCGCAAAGCAGCCCACCGTAAACTAAAAGAGGCAATTTAACAAATAAAGTCGCTTTTTAAATCCTGTCCTTTATAGAATCTTACTGCTCCCGTGAAGGCCACCGCCTTGATCACATTGTTCATCGGCACCGTGGTGTTTTGCTCTGCCGCCAGAGGTTCTCCGGTCGCGGGCTTCAAATTGCTGCTCTGCTTCCGGTTGCTGTGGAACTGCCGCCAGGATCGGGCCGCCGGATGGCCGGAGTTTATCCGCAGGATCGGCACATTGGCATGACATCTGTGGCTGCAAGTTTATGTTGGGTTTGTGTTACTCCGGTTACGGAACTCCCATGCCGCCCGCTTACTTACGCCACCTGGGGCAGCCAACTCCGGCAGAGCGCTCGACTCATGAGCATCGTAGTACGGATCTGGGCCAATTTAGCATGAAATAAACGAAATTTGTTTCTATTTTGCTCCGTGGAGAAGGGCCCGGAAAATTTTACGTGTGGCCAGAGTCTGAAAAGCCAGAAAAGGTTAAGTTATAGGGTATTTATAATAGGTGCGGCCACATCGAGTCGAAAGCAGTTAATAAATTATTTGGCACTACCAAATTAAACATATTAAAAAGATTTTATTCGTATTTGACAAATTTTTTTTTTTTATTAATTATTCATTTTACGTACACTTATTTTTATAGCAGAGTTCAATATTTTGTAAACATATATTTCTGTTTTTTTTTTTAGATTAACTATTACAGTGAAAGGAGGGATCATTTCAACAGAGTTTTCTCTAGATAGGTTGCGAGTTAGCCAGAAACAAGATAACTGATCTACCAAGGGCACATGGAATATAACTTATTTTAAATAAGTTTCATTATTGGTTGATTCAGTTTATTTCTTGTTGTAAACTTTTTAAATACAAAACACATATTCGTTGCATTCGTTTATTAAGTCTGTTGTAAATTAGTTATTCGTAATTTAAATTAGTACTTTGTTATGTAATTTTGTTATTTTATTTAATTTTTTTGGTTTAAAAGACAGAAAGTTAAAAAAAGTCCTTGTATTAAAACTAGGAATCCAACGTTACCCTGACGCCCGTGATGGAACAGTTTACCAGTGGTATTTATAACTTAACCGCACACGGTCACACTGCCCACTGACAATATTGGCGTTCCAAAATAAAACAACAACAAAACACGGCTTGTTTTCCACGGCTCGCGAGCTTAAACACCAAACAGCACGTGTCCGCGGCCACCGGGGACGCAAAAGATGTCCAACGGGCGCTACGGAAGATTCGGAGCACTGATCGGCGTCGCCTGCGTGAGCAGCACCCACTGCCGCTTTCTGGTGCGAAGGTCCAAAAGCCGAAAAACGCCCGCGCTGACTCAGATTCTATTTCCATAGATTTACTCAACCAAAAATGCAGAGGTTCTGGCCTACCATGAGCTCAAGCTGCGCCAGATTGTCCACCAGTCCGGGTGGATGGAGTACGACCCGGCGGAGATATGGAAGAACACGCAGGAGTGCATTGAGGTGGCCTATCTGCAGGTTATATCATCATCCGGCAACTAATCAGCGTACTTTTGCAGGTCGCCTACAAGAACCTGGTTATACTAGAGATCAATCCGCATGATATCATCGCCATGGGAATCGTAAATCAGCGGGGCACTGCGGTGCTGTGGAACAAGCAGACGGGTCAGCCGCTGCACAATGCCATCGGCTGGTCCGATTGCAGGAGCACCCCGATCCTAAGGAACCTGCTCCACAATGTCCGGCACAATGTGGACTATGTGCGCTACCGCAGTGGCCTGCCCCTGAGCAGCTGTTTCAGTGCCCTCAAGATTCGATGGCTGATGGATCACGTCCCCTCCGTTGCCAGTGCCATTGAGGAGGGCAAGGTTCTTTTCGGCACCCTCGACTCCTGGCTGCTGTGGAACCTCACGGGCGGCGTGGAGACGGGAGTGCACTCCACGGACCTCACCAATGCCCACTACACCTCTCTCATGAACCTGTCCACGCAGCAGTGGGACCCCAAGCTGTGCCAGTTCTTCAAACTGCCCATGAACATACTGCCACGCATACGTTCCAATTCCGAGATATTCGGCTATGTGCTGGAGGGTCCCCTCCTGGGCCTTCCCATTGCGGGCATGATGGGCGAGCAGCCGGCCAGTCTGCTGGGCCAGCTCTGCGTAAAGGCTGGGCAGAACGTGTGCACCCTGGACGACAGCTGCTTTGTGCTGCTCAACACGGCCAAGGAGAAACTGGACTCGGCCAACGGACTGATCACGGGCATAGCGCACAAGCTGGGCGACAAGGTGGCCACGAACTACACGCTCGAGGGAGCCATCTCCAATGCGGGATCCACGGTGACCTGGCTGCGGGAGAAGCTGCAGATCAACACTGAGATAAATTCCAACGACAATGTGGTGGAGTCTCTCAACACATTCATCGGCGAGAACTCGATGATCTCCTCCTCCTGTTCGTCCTCCATGCTGAATGCCGAGTGTGGACTGGCGGCCAAGCGGTCGGAGATCACGTTCGTGCCGGCCTTCCATGGCCTGTATGCTCCCTACTGGCGGCACGATGCCAGGGGCATTATCTTGGGACTCACCAGCCAGACCACGGCGGAGAACATTACGCAAGCGGCATACGAGGCCACTGGCTTCCAGATCTTCGAGATTCTGGAGGGCTTCAAGCGGGACACGCCCAACTGGGACCGCTCCACCATGCAGCCTGTGCTCACGTTTGGCGGCGATTACGCCGAGAACTCGCATCTGGTGCAGTTCATCGCGGACATAATTGGCTACATGCTGGAGCGGCCGCAGACCACATCGCCAGCTGGCTTGGGCGTCATGATAGCCGCGGGCGTGACCATGAAAGTGGTGTCCCTGCAGTACGCCATGAAAATGTACGCCCCGCCCACGGATGTCTTTTCGCCCACCACCACAAGGAATCGTAAGTAGAAAGGCTGGACAACTAATGGCCTAGGAAACAATGTAAATTGTATAGAACATTATAAGCTAAAACTTATTATTATCTATAATATTTAATTCAAAAAATTATTAGTTTATTTATTTAAAAAACTAAGAATATGTTATTCCCTTTTCAGGTCGCGAGCTGCTCTACAGGCGCTGGGATTATGCGGTTAAGAGATGCCTGCATTGGAACAACTACGAGACCTACGAGGCCGATGTCGAGCTGTTCGCCCAAAGAGAACTTGATCCCAATTTACCAGTTCGACGTTCTATACCCGGTAGTCTGTTCCTGACCACGTCCTTTGCCCTGATCCTGCTGGCCAACTATCTGAAGAACAATCCCATGCTATAGTTTCCAGTCGAGTTAGGGAACCGGCGCAGTTCAATCTAGTCAACTGAACACGTTCAAGAGTGTGCATTAAAATTTATTGTTTAGTTTAGCATGTAATCTTATCTAGTTGCTTTGATATGTATATACAATCCCTTATAGTTTTTTTGCCTGCGTTGTAGATCAAAATATTTGTGATTCACCTATATACACCACCATAGATATACATGTTTCTTCTATAAGCTCATTATGTTCCTCCTATGTTGAACATTCAATTTAAGCTGTGCGTATTTATTTCGAAACCCAAAGACAATTGTTAAAGCTGTTGCGAGGTGAGCACAAAAGTCGACATCATCCTGCATGCGTTATGGAAAGTTGTAACTGAGTAAACCAAGAGAACGTGAAAGCAAACTGTTGAGATTGTGTTTTACAAGTGGAAAAAGCGGAGCACAAGTGGCCAGTGTTTGCCAGCTGAAATCCATTTGCCAGTTAATTAGCTGGCTGGTGCTCCTACACGAGGAGTAGCATTCATCACCTGCCCCCGGCTGCAGCTCACCACATTGAATGCAGCTTAAGTTATTGCGCTTATTGTTGACACGCGAATTGTTCAAGGAGCAGCAGCTGTGCCCGTGCATTCCGGCCTGCAGCCAATGTGCACTTGAACGCGCCTGCCCCGGAACTGCAGGAGGATGGATGATGGAGCAGGCCACTGGAGGAGCACCCTTGGCTGTTGTTGTCTCTGCTCGACCCCCCACTTCGTTGTCGTCCAGCAGGCGAGGGAGTCGAGCAGGCGAGGCACTCTTTCAAATGAGTTTTTATGCGCGAGCGTTTGCCAAATGCCCTACGGAAAAACGAGTGAGGCTAATGATTTGCCATTGCGAGCTGTGGATAAAGGTTAAATGGCATGATGACTAATTATTTTGTTAAGAAAACTCATGTATACTATTATTTAAAAGATTTATATATTAAACAAACTTAGCTTTAGCAGAAAATAAAGCAGGGATTGAACCTTCACCTATAAATTGAGGGCACACTACATCGAAATATATTTACTATTATTTACCTAGGAAATGTTTACGTAATCTCTATATGTTGTGAAGCAATAGTAGTCAACAAATAAACCTCTAAAATTAAATGATTGAAATTATTTTCGCTTTGCTTTTACTTAGTCAATTTTGTTATATTTTCTTAATATTTTGTATATGTACGTGTTAAACAGTTACTATCTTAACTGAATGTCAATACTGGATATTTATTTAAAATACTGTTACAGATATATGTAATGTAATATAAACTGCAAGCAAGTATTATTAATATTTAAATGTATTATCTTGTGAAAAATATTCAAATTCAAAATATACTCAAAATAGTAGTCTATTATTGAGGAAACTTATAAGCTAGCCAGCACACTTAAAATACAAACGTACTTTCTCTGATAAATCATGTATCTTATATAAGTTACCATATCATCTAAAATTCTGGTTAACAAACGCAGCTCATTCGATTTGTCGGTTATGGCCATGCCATGAATCTCAGTCTGCAGAATTGGTTTGCATTTGAAGACAAAAAACGTCGACGGAGCGCAGTAAAATGTGAAATTTGTGCAAACAGTGAAACAGTTTTCCCTTCCCACGGGAAGGGAGGCGTAGGCGGGGGGCGTGGCAGGACCCCAAGACGCAAGTAAACTTTGCACGTAGTCAATTTAAATAAATTAACACGCTGTTGTATGAGTGTGTGGGTGGGATAGATAAGGATAAGGCAAGGGGGTGGCTCCTTCCGATATCCAGGACACAAATGGGTTATAGTAGTAGTGTCCCACTGTGCTGCAATATGCCAAAATGCGAAGCATTTGACATGCCCACGTAGCCAGGACTTTATTCCTGGTCAGGAGGGGGAACCCTCGGAGTACTCGGTACTCGGTATCAATGTCCTTGTTCTCGTCCTCGTCCTGGCAGGGTGGGTTTCCATTTCCCCTTTTATTTTCCGCCGTTTCGGGTGCAATGCTCCTGGGTGGGTGTGCTTTTCGGCTGTGGCTGTTTTGTGCGACTGCCACAACGCATAAATCTTCAACTTTATGGCATCAATAAATGTCGGGGCGAAGTAATGATTTCGTCAAGTTCTCTGCCATTGTGTGCAGTGGCCCAAGCTGAGAAATCCTCCCCTCGTCGTTTGTTGCACTCATTGGGGGTGGAATCGCGCTGCCAGGGATCTATATAACTGGGTAGAT